GATCCCCTGAACCTGGAATTACTGACAGTTATTAGCTGCTATGTGGGTGCTGGGATTCAAACCCGGGTCTTATGCAGGAACAGTCAGTGTTCTTATCTGCTGAGCCATCTCTCCAGCCCCATCAAATAGCAATTTTTTAAATCAAATATTCTAAGTACAATGCAAAGATACACAATTTGATATTTACGTGCTGAGGAATGAAGCTAGGAAAATATTAAGCATCTTTGCTTTCCTTAATTAGGCCATTGTTTCTACAAGAGCAAAGAACTTGATATAGTAAAATAATGCAATTCATAGCATACTATAGTCTCAATTTGAGTGAGGAGTTAGCTTTCATTGGTGTTGCATTGCATGATGGGATATGCAGGGCAAAGCATGAACATTATATGTTCGGGAAGCAAGGCTGCAGAGAAATTGCTGGATGTGGAGCTGTCAGAAACATCTCAGATTTACCACCCTTTGATTTGTTTGTAATTGTTGGTTTTGAGACAGGGTCTCACTTTGTAGCACTGACTGATCTTGAACTCACAAAAATCCACCTCCCTCTGCCTCCTGAGTGCTGGGACTAAAGGTGTGTGCTATTAAGCCTTGCACCATTTGATTTTGAATTGATATTTGGTTGTTGCAGTTCAGAAACCTTTTACTGTTGTCAAATTACTTCCATATTCAGTTATATGATGCCATCTGGGGTCACAATAAGTAAATGCAATTTTTTTTGTTGGTCTTTTTGAGACAGGGTCTCCCTGTAGCTCCAGCTGGCCTGAACTCACTATGTAGACCAGGCTGGCCCTGAACTCACAGAGATCTGCCTGCCTCTGCCTCCCAAGTGCTGGGACTAAAGGTCACCACACCGGTTTAAATAAATGCAATTTTAAAAAGGAGTTAGTGGCACACAGGTTTAATCCCAGCATTTGGGAGACATCAGCCTGGTCTACATTATAAGGAGGGAAAGAAGGAGGGAGGGAAGGAGGGAGGGAGGGAGGAAGAGGGAGGAAGAAGAGGAGAAGGGAGGAGGGAGAGGAGAGCTTCTGATGCTTCTCCAACTCCAGTGGACACATGATGGTTACCACAGCTACCCTACCTGGTAACGGTTTGATACATGGTTTCAGAGTAAGTGAAACAGACTGAAAATGTGTGTTAGATGTTACAAAAGGAGCTAAGATGGTCCTTCTCAGACTGTTTTACAAAAGCAACTATATCTTTATGGACAATGCATCCATACATACTTTGCTACATTTTGTGTGGTCCTTAAAGTTTAAGTTTACACTTCTCTACATTTGGACAAGTCAACTTTGCCCCCCTGAGTAACATTCAGAGGGCTCTGGACACTGTTGCAGACTTTCAGACACCTGAGTGTGGAAAATCATCCCTGTTGCTAAAAATCAGAACAGGTGATCCAACATGTCACACACTATAATGCTAATTCTTAGGAGGCTGAGGCGGGGGTACTTTGATTTCAAGGCCAGCCTAGCCTACAAACTGAGCAGAAGCCAGCCCAAGAGTACCTAGCATGGCTAAATAATAATAATAATAATAATAATAATAATAATAATAATAAAAGCTGGGCAAGGTGCCACAAGCCATAAATCCCAGCACTCGGAGGCAGATAGATCTCTGAGTTTGAGGATCAGAAACAGGGCACAGTGGCACATGCTTATAATCCCGGTACTTGGGAGGTGGAGGCAGATCGGCAGTTCAAGGTCGTTTTTAACTATATAACAAGTTGGAGGCCAGGACTATATGAGAGTCTGTCCAAAAAAATGAAAGCGAAAGAAAAAAGATTAAAGTAGTAATCCATAGTGTTTATACAGTACCTCCCTAGAAACATTCTGAGCTAAGAACATGTTAAAAGGAAAATAATTACAGAAAAGGCATATACAATGTTCATATAATCTATTTTTGTAAAATTGTGTAAATCTGGGGTCTAGAGAAATAGCTAAGTGGTTAATAGTACTGGCTGCACTTGCAGAGGGCCTGGGTTCAATTCCCAGCACCCACATAGTGGCTAACAACTGCCAGTAACTCCAGTTCCAGGGGATCTGATGCCTTCTTCTAACCTCCATGGGCATTGCACAACATGGGTGCACTTACACACATGTAGGCAATACATTCATATACATAAAACAAAAATAAAATTTTTTTAAATGTGTAAACCTGTAATTATGCATGCATAGAATACATAAAAAGCAACAATGTTCATGAGGTAGACAATGAGGGACCTAGCTCAGGTGGTAGAGTGCTTGTTTGGCACTCACAAAGCCCTGGGTTCAATCCCAGCCCCCCATAAACCCAACATGATCGTGTATGCCTGTAACCTTAGCGTTTGGGAGAGGGAGATAAGAAGATCAGAAGTTTTTATTTCTTTTCTTATTTTTTTTATACACAAAGATGTTTATTTCAGTTTTATTTATAACACTACTAGAGCTGAAAACAATGTTCAACAGGGAAAATTAACTGAATAATAATCTGTTCATGCACAGTTATTTATATTAATGATAGTAAATTTGAGGTTTGATTTTGTGTATGAGTGTGTGTGTGTGTGTGTGTGTGTGTGTGTGTGTGTGTGTTTGTGTTTGGTACAGGGCACTGAAAGTAGGATGCAGCAAATGCTGGGAACTTACTACCAGTGAGTTATATCTCCAGCACTGAATTTTATTTTTTGAATTTTCATTTAAAAATATTTTATTTATTGTTTTCATTTTATGTGTATGAATGCATTGCCTACATGTATGTAAGTGTACCCATGTCATACAATGCCCATGGAGGTCAGAAGAGGGCATTGGATTCCCTGGAACTGGAGTCACAGACAGTTGCTAGCCACTATGTGGATACTAAGAATTGAACCTCAGTCCTCTGCAAGTACAGCCATATTTTATTATTTTATGTCTATGAGTGTATTGCCTGTGTGTATGTAAGTGCACCCGTGTTGTGGAATGCCCACAAAAGTCAGAAGAGGTTTTCAGATTTCCCTGGAACCAGAGTTATGGACTGTTGTTACCACCATGTGGATTCTGGGAATTGAACCTAAGTCCTCTGCAAGAGCAGCCAGTGCTCTTAACTGCTGAGCCATCTCCCCAGCCCCAAAGATCAGAAGTTTAAGATCATTTTTGGCTGCATAGTAAGACCCTGTCTCAAAAAGGAAGAGAGGAAGAGGACATGACAACAGTGAGTCAGGTCTGTGGCTGACAACTAACCCTAGAATGTAACAGGAGAATTGCTGAGAGTTCCAAGCTAGCCTGGGCTACAGTATGAGACCTTATCTCAAAACAAACAGAGCCTGCAAGATGGCTCACTGGGTAAAGGTGCTTGCTGCAAGGCCTGATAACCTGAGTTTGATCCAAATGTTAGAGAACCAATTCTCACAAGTTGTCCTCTGCCCTCTACACACACATACAAAACAAATATATAAATGTGGTTTTTAAAATATTTTATTTATGGACTGAGGCGATGGCTCAGCAGTTAAGGGCATGAACTGCTCTTTCTTGCAACAGACCCAGTTTCAGTTCCCAGCACCCACATGATGGCTAACAACTGTCCATAACTCCAGTTCCAGGGGAGCTGACGCCCTCTTCTGTCCTCCACAGGCACGATATGGGTGCACTTACATGCAGGCAACACACTCATATACATAAAAATAAATTTAAAATATATTTTATTTTTATTTTATGTGTATTTTATGTTTTGCCTGCATGTATGGACAACCATGTGGATGTAGTGCCCATGGAGGCCAGGAGATATGCTGGAACTGGAGTTAAGGATGGTTGTTAGCTGCCATGTGGGTGTTGGGAACTGAACCCAGGTCCTCTACAAGAGCAGCCAGTACTCTTAAACTACAGTTGTCTCTGCAACCCAAATATGTAAATGTTAAAAAAATTAAAAGCTGGGAATGCACACCTTTAATCCCAGGACTCAGGATGCAGAGGCAGAGGGATCTCTGTAAGTTCAAGGCCAGCCTGGTCTACACAGTGAGTTCCAGGACAGCTGGGGCTACAGGGAGACCGTCTCAAAAAAGACCAAAAATAATAAATAAATAAATAAATAAATAAATAAATAAAAATAAATAAAATAAATAGAAGCCAAGTGTGACTGGGCACCGTGACACATGCCTGTAACCCCAGCACTTAGACATTGATTCAGGAAGACCAAGAATTTGAGGCTGTTGTAGTTTACTTTTCTGTTTCTGTGATAAAGCACTCTGACTAACAACAACTTGGGGAGGAACAGGTTTGGTTTACATGTCCAGGTCACAGTCCATCATTGAGGGAAGTCAGGGCAGGAACTCAAGCAGGAAATGAAGCAGGGATCATGGAGGAATGCTGTTCACTGAGCTGCTGCCTGGCTCACTACGGATAGCTTTAAAAATGTTTTTTAATTTTAATTTATGTGTATGAGCTATTTCCTGCTTGTGTGTAAGTGCACCTGTCTTGTGCAATGCCCACTGCAGGCAGAAGAAGACATCAGAGCCCCTGGAACTGGGGTTACAGATGGATATTTACCACGTGGGTCCTTGGCGAGAGCAGCCAGTGCTCTTAACGGCAGTGCCACCTCCCCAGTCCCACTTTGTAAAATATATATTTTATTTTTTATTTTACATATATGAGTATTTTGTCTGCATGTGTGTAAGTGTACCTGTATTGTGCAATGCCCTCAGAGGTCAGAAGAGAGTGTCAGGTCCCCTGGAACTGGAGTTACAGATGGTTGTTAACCACTGTATGGGTGCTGGGAACCAAACGTGGGTCCTCTGCTAGAGCAGCCAGAGTTCTTAACCATTGAGTCATCTCCAGCATGCTGGTAGCTTTTTTTTAAATACAGCCTAGGCCCACCTGTCTAGGGATGGTGCTACCCACAGTGATTTGGGCCCTTCTATATCAGTCATCAATAAGACAATCCCTTACAGACAAAGCCACAGAACAGTCTGATTTAGGAAGTTCTACAATTGGGGTTCCCCCTTCCCAGGTGACTCTAGGTTGTACCAAGTTTACAATAAAAACTAACCACTACCAAGGCCAACCTGGGCTACATGAGACCCAATCTCAAAAAAAGAAAAAGTAAAGAAAAAGAAAAAAGTAAATGGTTATATCTGGGCTGGGGTTCTAAATGACCTTTATTTCCTACCCAACTGAGCTACATCAGCAGACTGTCACCAATGTGTCAGGTCTGGTGGAGTGTCCCGCCTCCATTGCTGAACAAGGTCGGACTTCTCCCTGCTGGCAGGGCCTCCCCAGTGCTCACTGTGCCTCTGTTGACTTCATTCCCTGTAGCCAGTTCCATTTGCCACTTTGTGACCTCATCACAGCTACAGTTTCAGCTGCTGTGGTTAAGAGCCCTCAGGAGCCCAGCTCTGTGTGGAATCAGCTTTGGAGGTAGCTTCAGGACCCAGCTTTCAGCGGGTCATATTTGGAAACGAGGTGGAGGTCCACGGTCTGACCCTGTACATAGAAGGCGATGGGCCTTTGACTTTTGGAGTGTCTCTAGCCCATGGCGGTCCCCCCACCCTCCCAGAGGGTGCAGTGCAAAGTCCCATCAGCCCTGGAGCTGCCCCAGTGGCTGGAGCCAGGCCTGGAGAAGATCTCTGGGTGTCTGGGAGAGGAGCATTCATGTGTGTTGTGGGACACAGACGCAGCCCAGACCCTGGCCACTACCATCTGGCCTTGCTATGGCCCCTATGGCCGGCGGAAGTTCCTGGTGACCGCCAAGGGAGAAACAATTTGCACCGGTCATACGGCCGCCATCCTTAGGGCCCTGGAGCTGGAACACCCAGCTGCCCAGTTCATTCGAGAACTGGCCCAATCCCAGGCAGAAGGCAGTGGGGACAGCACGGCCTTCGTGGGTCTCCTGACCAAAGCCTTGCTGGAGCAGGCCCAGCACCTGCTGTGGGCCTGCCTGCCTTGCACTCAGCTCTGGGAGGCCCTGGCCACGGCCACAGAAGTCCTGACCGCTTTGCCTTCCCTGGCCATCCGGTCCCTGGGGCCTTTGGAAGACCTATCCTGGGCCCTCTATTCGGCGATGAACACCCATACTCTGTCCAACATAGAGCATTTAACTAAACTTGTGGCTCAGGTGTGCTGGGTGAGCCAGGAGTCCGATGGCAGTTTCAAACCTGAGCGTGTTGGGGTGTGCACACTGCAGGGAGGGGCACTGGGTGATTCCCAAATTCTCCCTGGTTTAGCCATATCCGGGAAGCCCTGTGGACAAATGACTGAGGTGTTAACTAACCCCATGGTGGCCCTTGTATATTTGCCCCTTTGGTCCTACAAATCCAAATGCACAGGCCACAGCCCGTCTCTCCAGTCCCGAAGAACTCCTGCAACTTACAGCGCAGACTAAACAAGTGAACAAGGAAGTGGACCAGCTGGCCGCTATGGACATCAGTGTGGTGGTGGTGGTGGTATCAGGGGATGTCGACAAGAATACAGCAACCCACACTGATAGCTGTGCCATCATGGTGATACTGGCCAAGTCCCAAAAGGAGATGGTTTACCTAAGTGAGGCGATGGGTACTCCTCTGCTGACCCAGCTGTTTCCTCCCGTGGAGCCAGGGAGGTGCCAAAAGGTTTACAGGCGGGATCTGGGAGCCACTGTGGCCGTGGTGTTCAGGTGGGAGCATGAGAGCTCGCCTTCCCTCACCTTGGTTCTCAGGGTACCCACCATCCAGGGACTGCGGGGTGCAGAGCAGGCTGTCTACCATTGCATTGAGGTCTTTTGCCAGTTGTGTCAGGATCCCAAGCTGCTGGCCGGAGCCGGAGCTGTGAAGCCCTCCTCCTTGGCCCTCCGCCCTGAACTCCTGAGACTCCTGCCCCTCTTTAGGACTAACTGCTCTTTTTTGCTTCTGTAAACTGCTTAATTGCTTGGCTGAAAGGACAAACTGTATTGACCCCATTCTGACTAGCTGTTTCAGGCAAGCCTGGACATGCCCAGGCATGCTGTAATCTCCACCTACCACCCCCACCCCAGGGGGCTATAGATAAGCAAGCCCAGGCATATAACAGCCTTATAAGGTAGAAACAGAGACTTCTGGCTCCACAGACAACAATCAGCACATTCCATAGCTCTGAGGGTAGCACCCACCAATGAGAAACCTCCAGGACTGCATCCCTTATAACCAATCAATTCAAAAGTGTGTTGGTGCGCACAGGCTCCTTGGACCAATCAAAGTGTGACTCTGTTATTCCCCTCCTCCCTTTGTCTAAAACCTATAAAGTGCTTCCACCCCCTGGGATCGGGGCTCTCAGCACAGATCCACTGCGTTGGTGAGGTCCAAGAGCCCGAAGCTTAAGCCTGAATAAAGACTCTTTGTTCTTGCATGCCCTCTGGATTCCATAGTTATTTTGGGGGGTCCATTCTCTGGGCACAACATTTGGGGGCTCATCTGGGATCCCAAAGACCCCTCCACGGGACCCCAGAGCGCTGAGTCTGCCTGATCCGATTGGTGAGTGTCTCCTGTCTTTGTGTCTTTTGTCTTTGCGTGCTTCTGGTTTTTGGGCCCAGTTTTCAGGTGGCCTGTTGGAGGTCTAGGTGGACACACTGGAAGGCCCCAGGCCGTGGGACTCGGGAGACATCCTGGACCCACCTGGTAGGGATTGGATCCCCCTGGTAGACTTGGAAGGATGAAGCGGGTCGCACCCGCTGGGAGGTGAGAGGCCATCATCCTACTTTCAGTTTAAGGCTCCAGTTAACCTAGTGTTGTTTTTCTGTGGGTTTGTGCTTTTTGTTGTGTTTGTGACTCTCACTGTGTTAGAAGAGACAGGACAGAACCAAGTAACCCCTCTCAGCCTTTTTCAGGATCATGTCTCGGAATTCAAAGCCCAGGCTGAAAGCTTGGGGCAAGGAGTGAAAAAAGGGAAGCTCTTTATGTTTTGCAGGAAGGAATGGCCAACCTTTGGGGCTGGTTGGCCTGAAGAGGGGACGTTCGACCTGCCCACCATCTACAGAGTAAAGGATATAATTTATAGCTATCCAGGCCACCCTGATCAGGTCCCTTACATCACAACTTGGCAGGTTATGGTGGAGAAGCCTCCAAAATGGTTAAAGCCATTCCTTCCTCCTCCCCCCACCAGCTCAAAGCCGACTGTCCTCGCCCTATGTGAGGATGAATGGCAGAGAAATGAAACTAAACCTTCTGCCCCCCTTTACCCTGTCTTGCAAGGAGGCACTGGGGAAGAGCTCTTGTTTGACCCCACCCCTTATCAGCCTGTCCCACAAGCAGAGCCTCAGGACATCCCAGGGGAGGCGGAGGCAGCCCCACCCCAGGAGGCAGAAGAACACCCTCCCCAGACACGGAGGAGAGTTCAGAGGGAGCAGCCACGGCTGGTGGCAGACTCTACTGTCCTCCCCCTCAGGGCTGTGGGGTCACTCACTGAAATGGGGGACCAACAGATGCAATATTGGTCATTTACAACTAGTGACCTCTACAATTAGAAGCTGCAGACAGCTAAATTTTCTGAAAAGCCCCAAGGTCTAATTGATTTGCTAGAATCTGTTTTGTTTACCCACCAGCCCATTTGGGATGATATTCAGAAGCTTTTGCTGGTCCTGTTCACCACTGAAGGAAGAGACCGGATCCTGGTTGAAGCCCACAAGCTGGTCCCTGGGGTGGATGGGACTCCCACCACCAATCAGGCCCTGATAGATGAAGCCTTTCCCCTGGTTAGGCCAAACTGGGACTTCAATGTGGCTGAAGGTAAGGAGAGGCTCCAGGTCTACCGCCGGACTCTAATGGGGGTTTCCGGGCTGCCGCAAGGCATCCCACCAATATGGCCAAGATTAGTGGTGTGTAGCAAGGGAGGGCAGAATCACCTGCAGCATTCCTAGAAAGGATCCTTGAGGCATTCCGTACCTATACTCCAATGGACCCGGAAGCACCCGAGAATAAGAATGCAGTGATCCTGGCATTCGTGAATCAGTCTGCACCCGATATAAGGCGCAAATTGCAGAAATTGGACAGGCTGGCAGATAAAACCCTGCCAGAGCTTCTGGCAGTGGCTGAGAAAGTCTACAATCATCGAGAGAGCCCTGAGGACAAGCAGGCCTGGGTCGCCGCCACACCAGTGCCAAGCAGACCTGCGACTTTGCCAAGATTTTCCTGGCCACATCGGCCAGGTCCCCAGGTGAAAGAGAATGCCAGCTGCGATGCCTATCTGCTGAACAAGGTAGGAGATGCCCAGAAGGGTGACCAAAATTGTTAAAAAACCAATGCGCCTACTGTAAGAAAATGGGCCACTGGAAGAAGGAATGTCCAGAAAGACTGGCCGGGCAGAAGCAGGTTCGTGAAGGAACACAAGTCCTGGAGCTTGGGGAATGGAGCGAATAGGGAGGACAGGGTTCGGATCCCCTCCCCGAGCCCGGGGTAACTCTCAGAGTGGAGGGGACACCCATGAGTTTCCATGTAGACACTGGTGCTCAACATTCAGTGTTAACAGAAACCCTAAGGAAATTGTCAAACAAAAGGTCTTGGGTACAGGGAGCAACTGGCATGAACCAATATTCATGGACCAACCGAAGGAAAGTGGACTTAGGCACGGTCCGGGTGTCCCACTCCTTCCTAATCATACCAGATTGCCCCTACCCACTCTTAGGTAGAGACTTGCTTACCAAAACTGAAGCCCACATCCATTTTTCACCTAATGGGGCTCATTTAATAGATAAAGGAGGCCACCCCATTCAGGTACTGACCTTACTGGAAGACAAGTATCGACTGCACCAAAAACTGGACCCACAGCCAATGGAGGAGATTTCTGCTTGACTGCAGGAATTTCCCCTGGCCTGGGCTGAGACAGGAGGGATGGGGCTGGCAGCCCACAGGCCACCCATCTGGGTGTAGCTGAAACCAGGAGCCCTTCCAGCTCAGGTAAAGCAGTATCCCATGTCCCATGAAGCCAGATCAGGGATTACCCCACATATCTGGAGGTTAAGAGACTAGGGCATCCTAGTACCCTGCAGGTCTGCATGGAATACACCTCTCCTCCTGGTGAAGAAGCCAAACTCAAATGATTACCGGCCAGTACAGTATCTGAGAGAAGTAAATAAGTGGGTCATGGATATCCATCCCACAGTGCCTATCCCATGTCCCATGAAGCCAGATCAGGGATTACCCCACATATCTGGAGGTTAAGAGACTAGGGCATCCTAGTACCCTGCAGGTCTGCATGGAATACACCTCTCCTCCTGGTGAAGAAGCCAAACTCAAATGATTACCGGCCAGTACAGTATCTGAGAGAAGTAAATAAGTGGGTCATGGATATCCATCCCACAGTGCCTAATCCCTATACCCTCCTGAGCTCCTTGCCACCCTCCAGGAGCTGGTATACTGTACTAGATTTAAAAGACGCCTTCTTTAGCCTGCCCTTAGCCAAGGACAGGCAGCCATTCTTTGCCTTCGAATGGCAAGATCTGGAGGTCGGTTTCAATGGACAACTGACCTGGACTCACCTGCCTCAGGGATTCAAGAACTCGCCCACTCTCTTTGATGAGGCACTTCATGAAGATCTGGGTGAGTACAGGCTGGAACACCCCCAGCTCACCCTATTGCAGTATGTAGATGACATCCTGATACCTGCTGCTGATGCTCTACTATGTCAGCAAGGGACTAAGGATTTGTTGGTGACTCTAGGCAGGCTAGGATATCGGGCATCCACTAAGAAGGTACAAATGTGTCATCAAGAAGTGATTTATCTAGGGTACATTCTAAAAGAAGGACAAAGATGGCTCACAGATGCCAGGAAAGAAACAGTGCTAAAGATTCTGGTCCCCAACTCCCGGAGAGCAGTGAAAGAGTTTCTGGGATTGGCAGGGTTTTGTCGCCTCTGGATCCCAGGGTTGCCGAATTGGCTAAGCCTCTCTATGAGGCCACAAAAGGGAATGAGACTTTCATTTGGACAGAGGAAAGAGAAAGGGCCTTTAATGAAATTAAGCAAGCCCTCCTGACGGCCCAGGCTTTGGGGCTCCCTGATGTCACCAAGCCTTTCCACCTCTACGTAGATGAAAAGAAAGGATTAGCCAAAGGAGTCCTGACTAAAACGTTAGGACCCTGGGATAGACCAGTGGCATACTTGTCTAAGAAACTTGATCCAGTAGCTGCAGGATGGCCACCATGCCTGCAGATTATAGCTGCTACTGCCCTTCTAGACTAGGATGCAGATAAATTGACATTAGGGCAAGAACTGCACATCACCACTCCTCATGCTATTGAAGGAGTTCTTAAGCAGCTACGGGACCGCTGGTTGAGCAACACCCGAACAACCCATTATCAGAGCTTACTTCTTAACCCTCCGAGAATTCGGTTCCTCCCAAGCACCACCCTTAACCCAGCCACCCTGCTGCCCGACCCCAACTTGGACGCACCCCTGCACGATTGCGCGGGGATCCTGAGCCAGATACACGGGCTCAGAAACAACCTGACTGATCAGCCACTCTCCGATGCAGAAGCTACTTGGTTCATGAAGGATGGGCAGAGGTATACAGGGGCGGCAGTGGTAACTGAGACTGAGACTGTTTGGGTGGCGGCTTTGCCTGTGGGAACCTTGGCTCAGAGGGCTGAACTGATAGCTCTGACTGAGGCCCTAAGGCTTGGAAAGAACAGATGATTGAATGTATACACAGACAGCAGATATGCCTTTGCTACGGCACTTGTGCATGGAGCCATCTACCAGGAAAGGGGGCTGCTCACAGTGGAGGGAAAAGCTATTAAAAATAAACAAGAAATTCTTCACTTGTTGGCGGCTCTATGGCTGACTAAGAAGTTAGCTATCATCCACTGCCCCGGGCACCAGAAAGCTAACACACCCACAGCTCGAGGAAATCAGAGAGCAGACCGGGTTGCCAAAGAAGTAGCCTTGGAGGCCTTCCAGATTTTGCCAATCCAACTGCCAGATCCTGCACCCCCCCCACCCCGTCCTACCTGATCAGCCTCACTATTCCCAAGAGGATATGAAACTGATATACAAACTTCCCATGACCCAAAAGATCGAGGCTTGGTGGCATACAGGAGACTGTAGAATTATTCTGCCAAACGACTTGGCCAAAGACCTCCTCACACACATCCACCAAACCACTCACCTGGGTACAAGGAAGACAGCTGAACTCTTAAGAAATGCTCACTTAAAAGTCTTGAATCTCCACCCACTGGTTAATGCAGTCACCTCTGCATGCCTTAGTTGCAAACTGACCAATGCTGAAAACCACCCTAAGGAAAAAGGGGCTCGAACGAGGGGCTCTAGACCAGGGGCCAACTGGGGGATGGACTTTACAGAAGTTAAGCCACGCAAGTATGGTTACAAATATCTGCTAGTTCTGCTAGTTCAGGATGGACTGAAGCCTTCCCCACCAAGCATGAGACCACTCAGGTGGTAACCAAGAAACTGTTGGAGGACATCTTACCCAGGTATGGCATCCCAGCCCTTCTGAGCTCCGACAACAGGCCAGCCTTTGCATCACAGGTAACCCAATTGTTAGCTAAGATATTGGGGACAAATTGGAAATTACATTGTGCATATAGACCACAGAGTTCAGGGCAGGTAGAAAGGATGAACAAAAACTCTAAAAGAGACCCTTACCAAACTGACCATGGAGACTGGCGGGGACTGGGTGGCTCTCCTTCCTTTCTCCCTGTATAGGGTGAGGAACTTGCCCTATCTGCTAGGACTAACCCCATATGAAATCATGTTTGGTAGACCACCCCCCCATTCTTCCCAACTTACGAGCTGACTTAATCGCTGAATTTGATAACCAACAGTTGCTTGATTCTTTAGGGGTGGTGGCCCGGGCGCATAGGGACATATGACCCTGGCTGAAAGCCATCTATGAGGCCACTCCCCGACAACTACCAGCCTGGCGATCGAGTCTACATCCACAGACATCACCAAGAGACCCTGGAACCCCGTTGGAAGGGACCCTAACCTGGACCCAAGATTGGGTCCTCTCTAAGTTACAAAGAAAAGGGGAGAATGTGAAGCCCTCCTCCTTGGCCCTCCGCCCTGAACTCCCAAGACCCCTGCCCCTCTTTAGGACTAACTGCTCTTTTTCGCTTCTGTAAAGTGCTGGCTGAAAGGACAAACTGTATTGACCCCATTTTGACTAGCTGTTTCAGGCAAGCCTGGACATGCCCAGGCATGCTGTAATCTCCACCTACCACCCCCACCCCAGGAGGCTATAGATTAAGCAAGCCCAGGCATATAACAGCCTTGTAGAAACAGGGACTTCTGGCCCCACAGACAACAGTCAGCACATTCCATAGCTCTGAGGGTAGCACCCACCAATGAGAAACCTCCAGGACTGCATCCCTTATAACCAATCAATTCAAAACTGTGTTGGTGCGCGCAGGCTCCTTGGACCAATCAAAGTGTGACTCTGTTATTCCCCTCCTCCCTTTGTCTAAAACCTATAAAGTGCTTCCACCCCCTGGGATCGGGGCTCTCAGCACAGATCCACTGCGTTGGTGAGGTCTGAGAGCCCGAGTTTAAGCCCAAATAAAGACTCTTTGTTCTTGCATGCCCTCTGGATCCCATGGTTATTCTTGGGAGTCCGTTCTCTGGGCACAACAGGGCCATGGAGATGGCTCTGGCAAAAATGCTGGCTGAAAAAGGAAGCCAACTGGCAGGCCCCAACGGCCCGGCCTTCCTCCCCTTTGCTCAGGCCCTGAGATTGCTGCAGGAAACCTTGGCAGAGAACGCGGGTTTAGCCACTCAACAGGTGATGGCAAAATTGAGTGCGAGTCACCAAGATGGCAACTTCTTCACTGGAGAGGGAACAGAAGGGTTAGTAAACGTGACCCACTCAAAGATCTGGGACAGCCTAAGGGTCAAAGTTTGTGCACTCCAAGTGGTTGCTAAGGTGGTGCAGCAGCTGGTGACAGAGGATGAGATCATAGTGGCCAAGAAGATCCCTATGCACCAGCTGATTTCAAGTCCCAACTCAAAGAAGGCAAAGAGTAACACCCATTCACCAAGAAAAAATTCTTTGGAATGTATAAGTAGCAGCAGCCTTAATAAAACAGGACTGCCCAGTCACCCCAAAACATGGTTTTGCTTACATGATTACTGCTGACTGTCTGGCACTTCCAAGTCACTACCACCTTCCTTTTTTTTTTCTTTTCCCTTTCGGTCTTTTTGAGACAGGGTCTCCCTATAGTCCTAGTTGGAACACCTTATGCAGCAAACCAGGCTGGCCTTGATCTCAACAGAAATCTGCTTGCTTCCTGAGTTCTGGGATCAAAGGTGAGTGCCACCACACCACACTTCCTTTCTTTTTTTTTTTTGGTCTTTTTGAGACAGGGTCTCCCTATAGCCCCAGCTGTCCTGGAACTCACTATGTAGACCAGGCTGGCCTTGAACTCACAGAGATCCCCTGCCTTTGCCTCCTGAGTGCTGGGACTAAAGGTGTGTGCCACCACGCCCGGCTTTCTAATTTTTTAAAGATTTATTTAATTTTAATTATGTGATGTTGTGGGTCTTTGTGTATGTACATGTAAGTACAGGTGTCTGAGGAGGCCAGAAGAGGGTGTTGGATCCCCTGAAGCTGGAGTTACAGATGGTTGTGAGCTGCCCAAACTGGGTGCTAGGAACCAAACTCAGGTCTTCTGGAAGAGTACCAAGCACTTTTAATCAATAAGCCCCCTCTCCAACCCATAGAGTCAGTTTCTTCATATACAACAACATAAAGATGAGTGTGGTAAAGCAAGCTTGTAGTCCAGGCACTTGGGAGATGGATGCAGAAGGATCGGCAGTTCAAGGTCTCAGCTAGACAGTGTGTTTGAGGCCAATCTGGGCTACATAGTGATACCCTGTCTAAAAAACCACAAACAAGGCTGGGGATGTAGTTGAGTTGGTAGCATGCTTGCCTAGCATGCATAAAGCCCTAGGTTTGATCCCCAGTACTACATAAAGCAGGTATGGTGGTACACATCTTTAATTCCAGCACTTGGGAGGTATAGACAGAAGGAGCACAAGTTCAAGGTCACCCTTAGTGACCTAGTGAGTTCAAAGACAGCTAGACTATAGAAGACCCTGTCAAATCTTTAATCCCAGCACTTGAGAGGCAGAAACAGGCAGATCTCTATAAACTCCCGGCCAGCCTGGTCCACATAGTGAGTACCAGGCCAGCTGGAACTATAAAGAAACTATTTCAAAATCACAAAATGAAAATGACAACAAAAATGAAAAGAAAAAAATTCTTTTTATGGGAGCTAGAGAGATGGCTCAGCAGTTAAGAACACTGTTCTTGCAGAAGACCCAGGTTGGAATCCCAGCACCCACATGGCAGCTAACAACTGTCCGTAACTTCAGTTCCAGGGGATCCGACAGCCTCTTCCTCCATGGGCATTGCATGACACAGGTGCACTTACCTACAGGCAGGCAATATACGCATAAACATAAATTAAAAATAATAAAAGCTGGGCGTGGTTGCACATACCTGTAGTCCCAGTGCTTAGGAGGCAGAGGCAGGTGGATCTCTGTGAGTTCAAGGCCAGCCTGGTCTACACAGTGAGTTCTAGGCCAGTTGGGGCTACAGAGAGACCCTGTCTCAAAAAGACCAAAATAATAAT